CTTACATTTTGTCCTCAAGCTCTCCACGGCTCCAGGAGAGTCTCGGCGCAGAAGGACGGGAGCCAACGTGGCGCCTAACGTAATTGAATACGCCGGGCGGCGCTCCCCCTCCCCCCGCGAGTGGACGTCGTCCACGGGTCAGCCCTAGTCTCTACTACATTGCAGGGCCCAGTGCGTGCCAGAAGGGCGCAGGCTCCAATGTCTCAAAACCGCCCCGGGCTGGCCCCGGGCCGCCCAGGGCCGCCCAGGCAGGCTCCAGGACATGTCGGGAGGGCCCCCAGAAGCCCCCAAGACGGCCCTGGAGAGCCCCGGCACGCTTAAAGATGGGCCCAAGACGCCCAGATTCGCCCCAGGCGGCCCAAGAGGCGTCCAAGACGCCCGAAGAGGCCTCCCAAGAGGCCTCCCAAGAGGGCCCCGAGCGACAGAAATCGTCGATTTCTACTGTGTTTTTCGATGTTTTCGGCCTCCTCGCCTCTTCGGCTTTCCGACGCTCCAAGACGGCCCAAGAAGTCCCCCCGACCGCTCCAAGACGGCCGAAGAGGACCCCAAGAGAGCCCCAAGACGGGCCAGGAGGGCCCCCAGACGGTCCCAAGACGCCCCCAGGACGGCCCCCGGACGGCCTAGGAGGCGCCCAAGACGGCCCAAGAGGCACCCAAGACGACCCCAGGAGCGGCCCAAGACGGCCCACGACAGCCCAAGAGGCGCCGAGGCGGGTCTCAGACGGCCCCAAGACGGCCCAAGAGGCACCCAAGACGGCCCGAGAGGGCCCTAAGAGCCCCCCCGGGAGGCCCAAAAGAAGGCCGAAGAGGCTCCGAAACGGCCCCCACGAAGCCCTCAGTGGCTTCAGAATTCCCTCCAGGAGCGGGGGAGCGGACGAGAGGCGACAGGCATATCGCAGGCAAAAACGCCCCAAGAGATCCCCAAACGGCCCCACGAAGCCCTAAGTGGCCTCAGAATTGCTTCCAGGAGGGGTGGAGCGGACGAGAGGCGACCGGCATATCGAAGGCACAAAAGAACAATGTTGGACGCTCCGAGGGCCTTCGATGTTTCTCCGTTGGGGAGAGTCGTCGTAGGATCGACGATTGCCGACCGAGGGCAGCGAATCCAGTGGAGGCCCAAGAGGCCCCCCAGGAGCCCAAAAGAGATCCCCAAGAGGTGCCACGGGGCTTAAAAACTGCTTCGAAGCGAGGGGGGCGGGCGAGGGGACCGCCTCAGGAGGTTTTGGACGGTTTTGGGCCTCAAAATCGTCCGCTTTACGACGGTTTTGGAAGGATTTTGGCCTTCTCGCCTTTTCCGCTTTCCGACGCTCGAAGACGGCCCAAGTGGCCTCCAAGAGCGCCCCAGAACGGCCCAAGAGGTTTCCAAGAGCGCCCCAAGACAGCCCAAGAGGGTCCCAAGACGACCCAATAGACGCTCAAGACGGCCCACGAGGGCCCGAAGACAGGCCCAAGAGGGGGCCAAGAGGGGGACCACGGACCGAAAATCCGAGCCTTCCGCCCCAAGAGGGCGCCAGGAGGCCCAAACAGGCCCCCAAGAGGCCCCAAGGGGCCGCCAAGAATCCCCCGAAGAGGCCCCAGGAGGCTCCCCAGGAGCCCAAACGAGGCCCCTACAGAGGCCCCAACAGCTTCCAAAATGGCCCCGAAGAGGCCTCGAGCCCGCCTCCGAGCTTCTTCGCCGCGAGGGTGCCAACACGGCCCCAGACCGGCCCAGGACGGCCCAAGGCGCGCTCAAGACGGCCCAAGACGATTCCAATACGGTCCCAGGAGGGTGCGCCCAGGACGGCCCAAGGACGCGCCCGTTCGGGGCCTCAAGACGGGCCAAGATGGCAAGAGAGTCCCAGCTGGCAAAAATCGTTAATTTTCCATTGTTTATTGTTACACCCTTTGCGTTTCCCGCCGTTTCGGCGGTCCGATGCACCAAGAGGCCCCAGAAAGTCCCAGGAGGGTACGAGGAAACGCTCAGGAAGGCCCCAAGACGGGCCAAGACGGACCCAGCACAACCCAAGGCGCGCTGCGACGGCTCAAGACGGCTCCAAGACAGCCCCAAGAGGGTGCCAACACGGCCCCTGCTGGGCCCAGGACGGCCCAAGGAGGCGCACAGGAGGGGCCCAAGACGACTCCAAGGCGGCCTCCTCACGGTCCCAGACGGCTCCAAGACAGCCCCACGAGGACCCCGATGGGCCCAGGACTGCCTACGGACGCGCCCATGAGGGGCCCACGACGAACCAAGACGGCCCCATCAGGGCAAACGGCGCCCTCAAGACGGGCCTAGACGGCTCCAAGACGGCCCTTCGAGGGAGCCAACGCGGCCCCACACCCTTCGGGCGCACACTTGGGGGGGCTGGGAGCTTGCGACAAGTCTCCCACATTCATTGTCCTGCCCCATTCTGTTCGCCTGGAGGCCTCCTCCAACCCTGTGGGCGAAAGAGGAATCCCAGCGGGACGCCAACCCTGGGGCCCGTGGGCCCCGCGCCGCTTGGGCAGAAGACGAACGCCGGGTCTGACAGGCCAGCTATCGCCCCCCTGTGCCCGATATGCTGTGCCATTCTGTTCCCCCAGGGGCCTTGGCAAACTCTTCGGGCCAAGCAGACTGGACCCCTGGGACAGCAGCCAATTGTTATGACCCTGGGACCTCTCCGCATTCTTCGGACGAGCATCTGGGGGGCCCAGGAGATTCGGACATGTCTTCCCCATTCCTTGCCCTGTCCCGTTCTGTTCGCCCGAAGGCCTCCACAGACCCTCTGGGCGAACAGAATGGGACATGGCGAACAAACCCTCCCGTTGGCGGTGATGCGACTGGATCGCACCATCAAGGCGCGCCCGGAGGTGATGGCCGACCCAACAGCGGTTTCTCTTAAGAGTTCACTGGATTTCAAAATTTCTTGAAGCTCTCTTGGGCCCTCCCTGTAGATCCTTGCGAGCCTCCCCGGCGCTTTCGGTGGCTTTCCCCGATGGCCTCCCGAGCCCTTCCCCGAGCGCTCCTGAGACGCCTCAGATGGGCTTCGACTTCGACGCACATCCCCGAGAGACTTCGAAACTGCCCTCAATAGGAGGGGGGTGAACGAGCAGTGCGCTGGGCCAAGCTGCTGCAGCGCTGCAAGAGATCGGACACGAAGGCGCGGTCTCGCTGCCGCCGCCCGAGCCGCCGCCGTGTTTGTAGATTTTTACCTAACAGCTTTTGCTGATAGGTTTCTAGTGGACTCAAAAGAGAGCAGCAGATGACTCCACAGGGGGGTCGGGGCGGCATCCGGGGAGCTGTGTCCGAACTCGTGTCCGAATGCGCTTTTCGCAAACAGTCACACACTTCGTGCTTTTCGACCTCCCAGAACTCCATTCCCGGGCCACATTCTGAATTAGCTGGAGCCAACTGTAGGCCACTTCGTGCTCTTCGACTTCCCAGAACTCCATTCCCGGGCCACATTTTGAATGCCCGGAGCCAACTGTAGGCCACTTCGTGCTCTTCGACTTCCCAGAACTCCATTCCCGGGCCACATTTTGGATGCCCGGAGCCAACTGTATGCCACTTCGTGCTCTTCGACTTCCCAGAACTCCATTCCCGGGCCACATTTTGGATGCCCGGAGCCAACTGTAGGCCACTTCGTGCTCTTCGACTTCGCAGAACTCCATTCCCGGGCCACATTTTGGATGCCCGGAGCCAACTGTAGGCCACTTCGTGTTCTTCGACTTCCCAGAACTCCATTCCTGGGCATGATTTTGAATGCCCGGAGCCAACTGTAGGCCACTTCGTGTTCTTCGAGTTCCCAGAATTCTATTCCCGGGCCACATTTTGAATGCTGAGGCAGGCTAAGGCTGAGGCTGAGGCAGGCTGAGGCTGAGGCAGGCTGAGGCTGAGGCCGAGGCTGAAGGCAGACTGAGGCTGAGGCTGAAGCAGGCTGAGGCTGAGGCTGAGGCCGAGGCTGAGGCTGAGGCTGAGGCAGGCTGATGCTGAGGCAGGCTGAGGCTGAGGCTGAGGCTGATGCAGGCTGAGGCTGAGGCAGGCTGAGGCTGAGGCCGAGGCTGAGGCTTGAGGCTGAGGCTGAGCAGGCTGAGGCTGAGGCAGGCAGGCTGAGGCTGAGGCTGAGGCAGGCTGATGCTGAGGCAGGCTGAGGCTGAGGCTGAGGCTGATGCAGGCTGAGGCTGAGAGGCTGAGGCAGGCTGATGCTGAGGCAGGCTGAGGCTGAGGCTGAGGCTGAGGCAGACTGAGGCTGAGGCAGGCTGAGGCTGAGGCTGAGCCTGAGGCTGAGGCTGAGGCAGAGGCTGAGGCAGGCTGAGGCTGAGGCAGGCTGATGCTGAGGCAGGCTGAGGCTGAGGCTGAGGCTGGGGCTGATGCAGGCTGATGCTGAGGCAGGCTGAGGCACAGAGGCTGAGGCTGAAGGCAGACTGAGGCTGAGGCTGAAGCAGGCTGAGGCTGAGGCAGGCTGAGGCTGAGACTGCTGAGGCTGAGGCAGGCTGAGGCTGAGGCTGAGGCAGGCTGAGGCTGAGGCAGGCTGATGCTGAGGCAGGCTGAGGCTGAGGCTGAGGCTGATGCAGGCTGAGGCTGAGGCAGGCTGAGGCTGAGGCCGAGGCTGAAGGCAGACTGAGGCTGAGGCTGAAGCAGGCTGAGGCTGAGGCTGAGGCAGGCTGAGGCTGAGGCTGAAGCAGGCTGATACTGAGGCAGGCTGAGGCTGAGGCAGGCTGAGGCTGAGGCTGAGGCAGGCTGAGGCTGAGGCTGAGGCAGGCTGATACTGAGGCAGGCTGAGGCTGTGACTGCGACTGCCGCTGCCACTGCGACTGTCATCGCGAATGCGACTGCGACTGCGAGAACAGCAGAACTCTACAACTGGATTATCATCTGAATCTTAAGGGGAATGCTTCCATATATGCTTCTACACATCGCTGTTAGGTTGCTTTGCCGGGATAATCGGTACAATCTGCGCCGTTCCTCCGAGAACCATTCCAGAAAGATGTCGTGGACGGAGTCCACGGGTCAGCCCTAGTTAGCTACAACGCTGGGACCAGCGCATGCGAGAAGGGCGGGCAGTGGCAGCGGGCTGTGGCGCTGTTCAGCGAGATGCGGAAGACGAAGCTGGAGCCCAACGTCATCTATACTCAAACGCCGGGGGCGCGGCGTGCCAGAATGACGCAGAACCCAGTGGTTCAAAACCGCCCTGGGCTGGCCCCGGGCCGCCCCAGGCCACCCAAGGAAGCCTGAAGAACGTGCCCAGAGTGCCCCAAGACGCCCCCATGACGGCCCAAGAGTGCCCCGAGACGCCCGATGATTGGGCCAAGACGCCCAAGATTGGCCCAAGGACGGCCCAAGAGGTCTCCCAGACGCCCCAAGAGGCTTCTCAAGAGGGCCCCGAGAGGCAACAATCGTTGAATTTAATTGGTTGTTTCTATGTATTTTGCGGTCTCGCTTTGTCGGCTTCCCGACGCTCGAAGACCGCCCAAGAGGCCCCCCAAACCGCTGCAAAACGGCCGAACAGGCCCCCAAGAGAGCCCCAAGAAGGCCCAAGAGGGCCCATGACGGCCCAAGAGGCGTGCAGGAGAGCCCAAAATGCCGCCAAGAAGGTTTCAAGAGAGGCCCAAGAGAGGGACCACTGACTAAAATATCCAGCTATCCGCCTTCAGAAGGCCCCAGGAGACCCCAAGAGGCCTCCAGGAGGCCCCAAGGTGCCCCCGACGGGCCCCAGCAGACCCCTAAGAGGCTCCCAGGAGGCCCTACGAGCCTTCCGAAATGCTTCTACGAGAGAGGTGCTCACGAGAGGCGAGAAGCATCTCTCAGACCCAAAGGAGCCGTCTTCGACGACACTGCGAGGGCCTTGGGTGTTTGTCTTCTCGGAAATTCGTCGTCGCCTCGACGACTGATGCTCTAAGATCGAAGGGATGAGGAATGAAGGAGGCGAGGAGGCCCAGGAGGAGGTGGAGAGCGCGCTCAACTGGGCGCCGTGGCCAAGGGTGTCGACTGCGCCGACGCGTGCCTGACCGCACGCAGGCCCGCCCGCGGAGCCGCCCTCTTCTCCTCGACAGACGCCGGAGACCTCCTGCGCACAGTCACATTGTCGAGGTTGCCCTTGCGTTCGTGTCTCGTCGGGCCTGGTGGCTTCGCCTTCCGCAGCCGTGATTCTTGAACACGGTCGCCCAAGGGTCTCGCTCGCATCCAGTCGTTGCGTCCGCACGCCCTGCATCTCTCCGTCCAGGCTCAGAGGCCTCCGAGCGCGCGCCGGCAACCTCGGAAAATGGAGCACCCGTGCCTCTCTTATTTTCTTTTCCTTTCGCGGCAGATTTCTGTCCGCACGGGTGTCCTGTTCAGGACAATCTCACGTCCACGGCCAGATTCCTCTGTTTCGAGGCAGCTGCGGATCCCACAAGATCTTATCGGACGGAGATTTCTAACCAGGGTGTGCGCCGGCGCGCCACTGGGCGTCCGCGCCGGTCACAAAGCACTCGTGCACCCCTTCTGTCCCAGTTCTTGCCAGCCGTTCCATGGAAGCGTCCCGCCAGCTTCCTCGCACTTCCTTCATCCACACTCCACTACTTCGGAGGCAGTACGATATCCTCGGACGATCCTCCAGCGGACCATTCGTCTGCCCCGGCCCCCTAGGAAAATAAGGCATTCCAGGATATGTTATTTTCCTGTGCCGTCGGAGCACCTGCAAGAGACAGCCCAAGAGGGCCCCACGGAACTTCCAGGAGGCCGAAAAGAAGCGCTGAGGGGCTCCAAAATGACCCCCTGAGGTCCCAAGATCACGGCCCAGAAAGCACCGAAGAGAGCACCAACATCAGCCAAACACAGCCTAAGACAGCCACAGACGGTCCCAAAACGGCTCCCAGCGCACCATGGGCCTCTGATGTTTGTTTGGCGCTCCGCTGCCGGATTTGGCCCAAAAATCCCTCGCCTTTTTTGTCGGTCTGGAGCCCTCTCCGCGGCCTCTTGGGGCCATGCCGTGTTTCGCTTTTCTGGTGGCCCAGAATAGCTTCGGCCGACCACGGAAGCGCGCGCGGCCGCCCAGAGCGCGTCGGGCGGGATTCTGGTTCGGCGGCGCGGTGGCCCAGAATCGGTCTCGCCGACTCTGGGAGGGCGGCCATTATGGGGTTATCTCGGAGGCGTGCTGGTGATTTTGGGGCCCGTCGGAGGGCCCCCAGACGGCCCCAGAACGCACCGAGAAGGTCGGACCCAACGCACCGACAAAGCCCGAGCCCATCCCAAGGGAGTCCTTGAGCGCCCCACGTGGGGCGTCCAGACGCTCCTCCGCCTCCTCGCTCAGCGATGTGTGGCAGGCGAACATGACGTCATTCATCCTGATCGCCTTGCGGCAGCACACCTACAGTGGACGTAGTCCACGGGTCAGCCCTAGTCTCTACTACATTGCAGGGGCACGTGCGTGCGGGAAGGGTGAGCAGGCTCAAATGTCTCAAAACCGCCCCGGGCTGGCCCCAGGCCGCCCCGGGCCGCCCAGGCAGGCCCCAGGACATGTCGAGAGGGCCCCCAGATTCCCCCAAGACGGCCCCGGAGAGCTCGGCACGCTTAAAGATGGGCCCAAGACGCCCGAGATTCGCCCCAGGCGGCCCAAGAGGCGTCCAAGACGCCCGAAGAGGCCTCCCAAGAGGCCTCCCAAAAGGGCCCCGAGCGACCGAAATCCTCGATTTCTATTGTGTTTTTCGATGTTCTCGGCCTCCTCGCCTCGTCGGCTTCCCGACGCGCCAACACGGCCCAAGAAGCCCCCCCGACCGCTCCAAGACGGCCGAAGAGGACCCCAAGAGAGCCCCAAGACGGGCCAGGAGGGCCCCCAGACGGTCCCAAGACGCCCCAGGACGGTCCCCGGACGGCCCAGGAGGCGCCCAAGACGGCCCAAGAGGCACCCAAGACGACCCCAGGAGCGGCCCAAGACGGCCCACGACAGCCCAAGAGGCGCCGAGGCGGGTCTCAGACGGCCCCTAGAAGGCCCAAGAGGCACCCAAGACGGCCCGAGAGGGCCCTAAGAGCCCCCCCGGGAGGCCCAAACGAAGGCCGAAGAGGCTCCAAAACGGCCCCCACGAAGCCTTCAGTGCCTTCAGAATTCCCTCCAGGAGCGGGGGAGCGGACGAGAGGCGACAGGCATATCGCAGGCAAAAACTCCCTAAGAGATCCCCAAACGGCCCCCACGAAGCCCTAAGTGGCTTCAGAATTGCTTCCAGGAGGGGGGGAGCGGACGAGAGGCGACCGGCATATCGAAGGCACAAAAGAACAATGTTGGACGCTCCGAGGGCCTTCGATGTTTCTCCGTTGGGGAGAGTCGTCGTAGGATCGACGATTGCCGACCGAGGGCAGCGAATCCAGTGGAGGCCCAAGAGGCCCCCAGGAGCCCAAAAGAGATCCCCAAGAGGTGCCACGGGGCTTAAAAACTGCTTCGAAGCGAGGGGGGCGGACGAGGGGACCGCCTCAGGAGGTTTTGGACGGTTTTGGGCCTCAAAATCGTCCGCTTTACGACGGTTTTGGAAGGATTTTGGCCTTCTCGCCTTTTCCGCTTTCCGACGCTCGAAGACGGCCCAAGAGGCCTCCAAGAGCGCCCCAGAACGGCCCAAGAGGCTTCCAAGAGCGCCCCAAGACAGCCCAAGAGGGCCCCAAGACGACCCAAGAGACGCTCAAGACGGCCCACGAGGGCCCGAAGACAGGCCCAAGAGGGGGCCAAGAGGGGGACCACGGACCGAAAATCCGAGCCTTCCGCCCCAAGAGGGCGCCAGGAGGCCCAAACAGGCCCCCAAGAGGCCCCAAGGGGCCGCCAAGAATCCCCCGAAGAGGCCCCAGGAGGCTCCCAAGTAGCCCAAACGAGGCCCCTACAGAGGCCCCAACAGCTTCCAAAATGGCCCCGAAGAGGCCTCGAGCCCGCCTCCGAGCTTCCTCGCCGCGAGGGTGCCAACACGGCCCCAGACCGGCCCAGGACGGCCCAAGGCGCGCTCAAGACGGCCCAAGACGATTCCAAGACGGTCCCAGGAGGGTGCGCCCAGGACGGCCCAAGGACGCGCCCGTTCGGGGCCTCAAGACGGGCCAAGATGGCAAGAGAGTCCCAGCTGGCAAAAATCGTTAATTTTCCATTGTTTACTGTTACACCCTTTGCGTTTCCCGCCGTTTCGGCGGTCCGATGCACCAAGAGGCCCCAGAAAGTCCCAGGAGGGTCCGAGGAACCGCCCAGGAAGGCCCCAAGACGGGCCAAGACGGACCCAGCACAACCCAAGGCGCGCTGCGACGGCTCAAGACGGCTCCAAGACAGCCCCAAGAGGGTGCCAACACGGCCCCTGCTGGGCCCAGGACGGCCCAAGGAGGCGCACAGGAGGGGCCCAAGACGACTCCAAGGCGGCCTCCTCACGGTCCCAGACGGCTCCAAGACAGCCCCACGAGGACCCCGATGGGCCCAGGACGGCCTACGGACGCGCCCATGAGGGGCCCACGACGAACCAAGACGGCCCCATCAGGGCAAACGGCGCCCTCAAGACGGGCCTAGACGGCTCCAAGACGGCCCTTTGAGGGAGCCAACGCGGCCCCACACCCTTCGGGCGCACACTTGGGGGGGCTGGGAGCTTGCGACAAGTCTCCCACATTCATTGTCCTGCCCCATTCTGTTCGCCTGGAGGCCTCCTCCAACCCTGTGGGCGAACAAGAGGAATCCCAGCGGGACGCCAACCCTGGGGCCCGTGGGCCCCGCGCCGCTTGGGCAGAAGACGAACGCCGGGTCTGACAGGCCAGCTACCGCCCCCCTTTGCCCGATATGCTGTGCCATTATGTTCCCCCAGGGGCCTTGGCAAACTCTTCGGGCCAAGCAGACCGGACCCCTGGGACAGCAGCCAATTGATATGACCCTGGGACCTCTCCGCATTCTTCGGACGAGCATCTGGGGGGCCCAGGAGATTCGGACATGTCTTCCCCATTCCTTGCCCTGTCCCGTTCTGTTCGCCCGAAGGCCTCCACAGACCCTCTGGGCGAACAGAATGGGACATGGCGAACAAACCCTCCCGTTGGCGGTGATGCGACTGGATCGCACCATCAAGGCGCGCCCGGAGGTGATGGCCGACCCAACAGCGGTTTCTCTTAAGAGTTCACTGGATTTCAAATTTTCTTGAAGCTCTCTTGGGCCCTCCCTGTAGATCCTTGCGAGCCTCCCCGGCGCTTTCGGTGGCTTTCCCCGATGGCCTCCCGAGCCCTTCCCCGAGCGCTCCTGAGACGCCTCAGATGGGCTTCGACTTCGACGCACATCCCCGAGAGACTTCGAAACTGTCCTCAATAGGAGGGGGGTGAACGAGCAGTGCGCTGGGCCAAGCTGCTGCAGCGCTGCAAGAGCTCGGACACGAAGGCGCGGTCTCGCTGCCGCCGCCCGAGCCGCCGCCGTGTTTGTAGATTTTCGGTACAATCTGCGCCGTTCCTCCGAGAACCATTCCAGAAAGATGTCGTGGACGGAGTCCACGGGTCAGCCCTAGTCAGCTACAACGCTGGGGTGAGCGCGTGCGAGAAGGGCGGGCAGTGGCAGCGAGCTTCGGCGCTGCTGAGCGAGATATGCGAAGCGATGCTGGAGCCCAACGTCATCAGCTACAGCGCTGGGGTATGCGCGTGCGAGAAGGGTGGGCAATGGCAGCGGGCGCTGGCGCTGCTGAGCGAGATGCGGGAGGCGAAGCTGGAGCCCGACGTCATCTCTCTACTACAAT